TGTGTCTCATTTCACACACACCACAAATTAGTTACAGTAAAGAATTTAGCTAGACACACTAGTAAATTTGTGTTTGCTAATCTGTGCACTTGAAAGCATTACAAATAAACATAAAGCATTTAGGATGTGTAGTTTGGTATATGTTACTCTACTTCTATAGTCTCTCTTGACTGGATTGCAGGTATGACAGGAAAATATATATCCTTGAAACTGGGCCAAATGTGCCTGAATTGTTCTTTGGAATATGTAGTAAAAGTAGCTCTGGCTTTTAAAAATACTGTGTTTCTAAAAAAAGGGTTTCTTTACCTCTGTTTAGTTCATGAACTATGTGACAAATACTAAACACAAGAAAACCCAATTATTTATTGAAAAATTGTTACCAAATGGCCCTGTGCCTAAGCTTAATAAATTGTGCAAGACTTGTCGTCTTTGCTGTATAAATATTTGCATTATATAGTAGACCTAGAAAATTACATATTTATCACTTAATGGTGAATGCAAAAAGCCATACATTAATCACAATAATATACTCTGTAATATGATCACAGACTGGAAAATGCTGACCAATTACATAATTTTAAATGTATTATTCAATTTTGGGTGATACACTAGAATAGTAAAAGGGTTTTTATGTGATTTAAGAGGAGAGTTTGCTCTTTTATGTCTGTATTTTGGGAAGTGAGAGATACTCAAATTTCAGTGTGCTTTTTGTTAAAGAATAATTTAAAGCTTATGTATTCAAGGTATTATTTATTGTTTGCTAATACTTGAACAACACTGAGTTGGAAAGAGTAAGCACTATTCTGTTCCTTCACCAACTGCTGATAAAACATGATGAGTAAGTAACAGCAATAAAGGCAACTCTTAGTACGTCTAATTGTTTCTTTCAGTTCATGCAAGTGTTATTTTTTTCTAAGCAGAGTTGGAGATCAGCTGTATACTTCTCTTCAACATGCTCTCTGAAGTGATTTTAAATTTTAAGTTCTTAGTCATACAATGACCTGCTAATGTTGCAGTGTAATGATAGCCTTGCTCATACTATTGTCTTGATGCATGCAAATGAAGATTAATGTTATCAACTATTTTAATGACATGTAACTGTTAAAACTGTAATGTCAGCTGTAAAGCCTCAAACAACACTTCCTTTCTCCCGACAATAAAGTCATCTGGGCTTAGTTATTTTGTGTTCAGTGGATTGTATATTATGCTAAAAGCTGTAATACATAAAAAAAAGACTACCACCTACACAGACAACCTAAAATGTAAAAATCTAAAAAGTCCATGTAAACCCCCTGCAGTCACAGCTTTAAACTAACTTTTACAAAGATAAAAGTTGCTGTTCTGTAAGAGTATATAAATGTGAATTTCAAGCAAAGTCACCTCCAAAGAGGTAACTAGCAAAGTGTAGTCCAGTAAGGAAGAAGTCGTAGAAAACACAGGTAGTAAACACTGGAGCAAAATCTTCATAGAAAAGTCTTTATATAATCTAGACATATTAAAAAGCCCCCAAACTTCTGAAAGCTGATGTACCCAATGAACACGGAATGCTACTCTTGAGAAACGCAAAGTTTCAGTCTTGGTCTTCAGATGACAAAAATTTAAGGTAAGAATAGGTTGTTTACATTGGCTACCAATGAGGGTACAGGAACAGTCTTTTCTTACAACAGAATGGTAACAATAGAGACTGCCAATTCATGTACCAGCAACCTCAATTAAAAACTGAGCTTTGATATGTATAGAAAGAGGGAAGGAAGATTGAGTTCATATTTCACAGTGAAAAAATGTACTAATAGGAAGTGAAGAGGTAACATTTCTGCTGCCAATAGGTAGGGCAAATCCTTCCCTAATAACAGTGATGTTTTCTTAACTGCCAAGTTGCTATCTGAGAAAAATGGTGTAAATCCAAGTCCAAGATGAGATGTAAACATATCAATACTCATTTAGCAAACCCATTTTTCAGTCAAACATGAACCAACAACTTTAACCACAAAAGGCCATTGTGGTAATGGTCTAATGCAAGATGACAGGAATACTGTGCAGAGATTTCTTTAAAAATGTGAAGGCAGCAGTTGCAAAAATATGCAAGAATGGATTCTCAAAGCTCTTGTAAGGATTAGATTAGGAAGACAAAGAGTAAATAGTGTATAATGAGGAGGGACATTAGCTAAGGTCTGACATGCCACATAAGGCAAAGTTACAAGCCAGAGAAAGTCCACACTGGTGTCTCAGCAAACAAACGAAAAAAGTCTTTCAGAATAAAATAAAAAGTTTGCTTTACCCTGTTGGACCCTGTTTGGTTTTTTTGTGTTACCCACAAAAAAACAGCCTCTTTTCCAACAGACTTAATAATATTGTGACTTAAGTACTGTAATACAGTTATTAACAACATTAAGAGATTCTTGACATCAGTCAAGGCTTACTGATACAGAAGAACCCCGTGAGTACACATTCATTCCACCAAGTATTCTCCCTTTGGGAAGATTCAGTTTCTTAAAAATAGCGCTAAGAGGCAGAAATAGACACAACTGTCAGGTGAAAAATATAATTACTGAAGAAATAATGTATGAGCAAGCTAAAGCATGCTTCACATTCCTGAAAAACATAAAACATGTCATTCCACGTTTTAATTTACATATTGGTCCAATTTTTTTAATTAGGCCTACTAGAGGCTAAAAAGTTTGAAACAAAAGTGCCTCACTCAACTCAGAACCATTTTTTTAACCTTATCAGTGATATTAGGATCATTATGGTCCATGCATATCTCTGTCTTTGAAAATTCATAACCTCTATTAAACAGCAGCCTATTTTCCTTCCTATAGCCATTTTAAGCACAATGGTATTTATTAGTGGTATTAAGCACAGTGGTATTTATTAGTGTGGCCATTTAACTATTAACTATTTTCCCTTCTTGAAATTAAGATACATTTTATGATGGCCATCACTGACCCAATCTTTCTATTAATTCTATAGGAATTAATTTTATAGATTTTATAAGAATTAGGTAGAAGCATCAATACTCAGGATACCTCTTTCATACAGATGCATTCAGTTGTGTCTGCTAGCTTCAGTTCCAACTGGATTATTTGCTGCATGAGTGATTGAGAGATACCTGACCTGAAGACCAACGTGACTTTTCAGATTTCTGCCAAGCTGCATAATATTTTCTATGCTTTATCCTGCCCTTTATGTCCCCCCTTGACAATATGCAGTTGCTGTTTCTGTGCCACCTCTGAGTTTAGATTATATTACATGTGCAATGCATAGACATCAATTCCGTAAGGTTATCAAAATGGGAAGCCTCTCTCTAATAAAATATTTAAAATGCATCTGTCATAACAGTAACTGGTTATCAAATGAGGTGGATGTGACTCCAAATAAGCTTGTCTTACTGCCTGGTTTTTTTTCAAAAGTTATTGACAGCATTACCAAAAAAGCACTGGCCCTTGGAAATGAACAATATAAGTAAAATTCCCACTAGAGAAGGAGGTGAATTTGCATCTATACACACCGGAGTATATTTATCTATACAGCTTTTGTTGTTAATGCTTTTGCTTGTTTAACAGTTGATATTTTCAAAGCTTTCTCTGCTTGAAGGATATTTTTATGTCAGTAACATTTAGATTTGGGATTGAAAATTATTGTTCTGTTCTTACAGTGAAATTAACTCCATTTCTTCAAAGGAGCTTTTGAAGTGTTTTTTATGTATGGTGGAAGTACAGATTGACAGCACAACGATCCTCTTCACTATTCTTACAATCAGCAGCTGTTAACCTATTTTTATCAACAATTTCATTGCTCCAAGAAACACTTTTGCAAAATGTGAATGCAGCTGGTGAGATCATTCCACATGAGCAGTCTTCTCCCTACGAATTTTCACAAGCAGGTTCCAAAAAAAAAAATGTTCACTTCAAGAACCAGCTGCCAAGCCACCCTTCTACATAACACAAGACCTCTTTTTCTTTCCACTCATGTTCCAGGTATGCACAACCCACTCAGGTCATAGATGGGCATCTCCTAGACACCTCCATCTGGTGGTGAGACATCTCATCCGTCTGAGAGCTTCAGCACCCTCTCTAAGGCCTTTGGTATGCTCCACAATATCCTAGGATGCCACTACTGCATACAAAACCCAAAATAAACACTCAAAAATGGTATTTCCTTATCAGACGCAATGTCAGGTATCTTTGCTTTCAGATTCAGATAGAAAGTATAAAAAGAACATTTTCTGACTGCAGCAAACACATAGACCAGTATCACAATGTCAGTGAGGAAAGGATGGAGTTTCTAAAGTGGATGAGGGTATTTGAAGCTCTACTGCCCTGTGTGTCTCTAGAAGCAGAAGCAAGGACGACTCTGACTCAGCCTTGCTACTCTGCTAGAATCCTTCAGACATTCAAGATCACAACCAGCTGAGCATCAGATACTTTGTTCTGCTGTATGAATTGTGGGCACAGTGCCAAATTATCCCCCATGAAATACTAAGAAAGGACCAAAAAATAGAGTGAAACTCTATTGCTTTAGGAGAAGAGAAATTCTCAGAGTGAGCACTGGAAGCCATGACAGGGCATGAGAAATCCCAATACTTGGCTTGTGTAGGGAATACAGCTTGGCCTGCCATTGATTTCATCCTCTATGATCTGCTGTCTGCTTTCACTTGTTGTCTGATGCATCTCTGCTTTATGATCCCAACAAAGAATTTTAGAATTAAGTAGGTCCTCAACACATAAATTAATACAGAATAATACACATTTCTTACAGATATATGAATGTGCTATAGATATGGTATGCATACTATGAATGTGAAGGGCAAAAAGGCAGAACATCAATTCACTCAATTATTTTCTAGTTCCCATATTGTGTCTTTTTGCTAGTCATTGTTTCTATAGAGAGCCCCAAGAACAAACAGTACACATGTATGGACTTCCTCCTCGTGCAATGCACACATTTTTAATTTTTTTTTAATCTAACATGTCTACTGGGACCATCTTTGATACACCTACCAATAAACCCTGAAGAAGGAGGGTTGGGCTGTATCTTCTCTTTAGTGTTCTCCTGAATGATGTCCCAGAGCTGCCATATAAACTTTGGATGGAGGATGTAAAACGGCTGGCTTGGATTCTTCCTACGATGCTGTACATAGGGAGTGAACAGATTGTAGTCTGGCTTCTTATACCACTGAGAGGAAAAAAGTAAGATGCTTTTTAATCTAATAGTATCAAATGTGTTTTGAACACTACATGTACAATAACATAAACTGTCTTCATTTGGATTCTGCAGAACAGAAGCAAAGGTACCAAAGCAGCCTGCACTGGTGGATGTTTTTGCTAGAAAGGCATTCCTCACTCGAGGCTATTCAGTTTTCTTTCTTCATACTGAGACTCCCAATAAGGAATTGAATGCTGTGGGATAAGCCAACCCTATCTCCCCCTCACAGATTCACATTAAAGAAGGGGTTCAGAGAGTCTTGACATGAGATCTGGGCCTGGGGGTGAATCTTCCTCTGAAAGTGTCCCTGTCCCTGCTGGAGGCAGCAGCAGCACATGACGCAGACTGACGGCAGCCTGCGTAGGAGGCAGGCAGCCTCTAGCATCTGTTGCTAAGGGAGTTCAGCAGATGAAGGTTTACTTTCTACTTTGCAGCCTGCTCAGCTACGAGCTCCCTGTGCCAAAAGCCATCAGATCAACTTGTCTACTGGAGCTGCAGCAACAGCCAAAGCAGAGACTCCCCCAGTGACAACCAGGTGGACATATGCTGCTCTCAGTGAGGGGGTGGACAGCAGGGGACAGATGGCTGTGGGACAGTGGACGTAAAGGGAAGACTGGTGGGGGATGAGGCCTGAGAAATGGGGAAGAGACTTTCACTAGAATGTATTTTGGGAAGGCAGAGGGGAAGATGGGGAAAAATGGATGCAATTTTTCACCTTTCCTGATAAAACTTCCTTCTGAAATCTAGCAATGCTCCCTTCTTGGCAATCACCCAGAAAACTCACTGTTATGTGAAAATAACAATGTTTTTTCAAACAAAGTCTGTCATCCATCTATCCTAGCATCTCAGAACAGTGCATTCTAGTACAAGTGCTACGGAAAAGTTTTTGACCAATAAACCAGCTTTGACCAATTTATGCAGAAATAGCATTCTCCACTCAGATGCAGACAGACCCTGGGGTTCATCATGAAAAGTGAGAACAAGGAGACTATAGTGGTAAATACATTCATTTTCTTCAGTGTTTTCAGCTGATTGGGAAGAAAGGTCTAAGTGGACATCTTACCACATTCAGGTTTGCAGAGTAGGGAGCAGGATCCCAGGCAACTAAGACAACATCTTTATACAAGGAGCTGTCAACAAAGTGATGGTTTGGATTGGTGAGAATCTGCAAACACAGATGCAAAGAATTGCACAGCATTAAAAACATGTGGGATCCAGAAAAATGGCAAAATGTTTATCTAAAATAAACAGTCCTACCCAGGTTGCCATTTGTTCTGCTGAATTTTAAGCATCTTGTTTTGTTAAGAAAATATATAAAAAAGAGCTTAACCATAAACAGCAGTCATGACAGTTTGAATTGGCAGTATGCTGAATTACCCTCCATCTGTGAGGGATGTGATGGGACCACTTGAGATGCTGCATAATTGCATATCAACACTACCGTGCATTCTGAAACTTGAAAATGAAAGGTACGGTATTTTAAGACCACCTGCAGGATTCTCTTAGACACAGAGCAGCTTTCTTTAAAGGGCTACAGCCCCCAAGGGTAATGTCTTTCCTGGTGCCCACCCCCTACCAACTTTGTGGTTGCTTTCTCATTTCAACAGCAAGTCAGTCTCATTTCAAGCAACTCCAGAAAGGCAAATTAGACCATGACTTCACAAGCTTGGTATACCTAGAAAAACAGTTCCAACAGCAGGTACATAATAGGGCTATATTTGAAGTAACTGTCATTTTTCTCAAATCGACTGCTCTCATATAACTCCTTCGTGCATCTCCCGGTACTCTGCCTGATCCTCCCACCCTACTGGAAGTTTGTTCCTCACTCCTGCTGGCTCATCCCTTCCAGAACCCTCTGTGTGTAACCAGATCTCTTTGATCCCTGGTACATCCAGTGTCAGGCAGGTTCAAGCTGAATGATTTCAGCACTGGTCGAAACAGCATGAATTTGGTTTCAGCTGTTAAACTAATCAACATTCCAGACAAATAAATTCGTATTAATTTTCATTTCCCTTTAGGATCCAATGAGCCATATTTGATTATGCATATTTTTCTTTAGAAAAATAATATTGTTGCCATAGCGATATTTTCCCTACCATAAACTTTGAGCTTAATGATTTCCATCAGCCTTCTACAACGAGAACAGAATTAGTCATGTTGCTCTCAGTATCCCCAACTCCATTTCTCAGAGCAGTTTTCACCTCAGAACGTAAACTCCTTTTTTGAGAGTGCAGAGTAAACAGACCAAAAGGTCAAGATTTTAAAAGCTTGGTTCCACAGTTTCCACACAAAGGAGCTCTTACTTGCCTTTCAGTAAGCAAGAGCCCTTTGGAGGTGGTGTCCACACAAATTTCGCTCTCAGTGAAGTCTGCATTCATATGTATGAGTTTTTTCCTGCAATAACAATATCTGTTGTGGCTGCACAGTCATCTTTCATGTCCTTTGGGCTTTCACAGTAGAGAATATGAGGGAAGGGGGTCACAGTAGTCTTTTTATCAAGTGAATACAGGAATTTTCAACAGCAAGGAGGGAAGGAGGGTCAGTAAACCTGTATAGATAACCCAGTTTTAGTACTGGTAGGGAAAGCCACTTTCATCAAGTGACCTGTGCAGATTTCACTCTTAGAGAGGACAACACTAGTTTCTCAACAGGTGGCCAGAGTATCATGGACAGCTTCTGACCTCTCTGAAGGTGTAGAAAGGTGGTAGGAATACAAGCAATTGTGAGGAAGCCATGTGAGCTAACCTGGCAAGAACTTCAGCATACCCTCTGTTTTCTGTTTCTTACACAGAGCCTTATACAGCGCAGAAGAGAAGTCCATGGGACCGTCCATTACCCCTCCACTGGCAGCATACTGCAGCAGCTCTGGGAGCCAGGAGGACCCCAGTCTGCCCTGCCGTGAGCAGTGGAGAGCAGCTAGTTTAGCTATTTAATCTCTCAGAATTCGCTGGGGAGCTAACAAAGCTCAGATCACTCCCTGAGAGCACTTCTCTCATCTGCTACAGGGAGCCTACTGAGTCTAGTCAGCTATAAGAAGTTTCTGAACTCTTCTCCTTGCCTGACATGCGAGTTCAGGCATGGTCAGCACCAGGACATTTTAGCTGACACTAAAACAGAGAACCATCAAAGAAAGGAAAAAACACAACAAAACCAAAAAAAGTAAAATAATTTACATGAAAATCCATGTTCTCTGATGCACCAATTTCAGCACTAAAGACAGAGTAAGATATTTCTGCTTTCTTCCCCCAAAACAAAAGAAAGGGGGCAGATCATGATGGCAAAGAACATGAGCTCATACACACAAAGAACACAGCCACCTAGGATAGATTTAGCATGGGCGGTCACTCAGAGAGGAAGAAAAAAAATGAACTCTTAACAATTACTGTAAATGAAAATGTTGTTCTCCATCAGCAAGAATCAGTATGTGCAGACCATGCTACATGGTCAACCATACTACTAGTGTTGACTAAGTAAACTCTCCATTTCAATATGTCATAAAATTTCACAGTAATTCTGTTGTTGCTTTTTGTCTGCATTTCATGAAGAGAAAAGAGGTTTGGTTTGCCCAAGACTGGAATTCAGGCAATAGCTTTTTCAAAATTGAAAAACTACTCTCAGCCATAAGGTGTCACTGTAGCTCAATGCACAGTTATTTGTTGACACCCATATGCAGAAAATACCATTTTCTGTTTCCATTCATATGAACAAACTCGTCCAATGTGTAATAGCCAGTGTACATTAAAGTTCTCTACTAGTTTGTTCCAAATTTTTGAAGAACAATGACTTAAGTTACATACTAAGACAACTCAGTTCCCATTTCTTTTGCCTTCCAGCAAGAAAATAATTGGGGAACTGGAAAATATGAGATAAGAGCTTTGGGATCACCACAGCCTGGATTTTGTGAAGATCCTGCAGGCAGTGTGGCAAAGGTCTTCTATATTGACAGCTCTGGCATCCTGCAGAGCCTTTGTAGATGCAGGACACATGAGAAACTTTACAGACTTCTTGAAACGAGGCTATCAAGTAACTACCACAATCACTCTACACTGACAGCAGTGTGAACATCCTTGTAAGGGAAAACTTTTACCTTCTCTACATCATGACTGTTGAATCATGAGCTGCTTCACCGATTACCCAACACTTTCTCAGAAGTTATTAATTTAATGTCATATTGTACAGAAGTGACATTGACTTGAATTCACAAAAGAAAAATCTTACCTGAGAATTAATGATCCTCATGGTTGTTTTATTTCCAACATCTTTTTCATAGCCATGTGTTGGAGCAGAATTAAATCTTAAAACGGCATCATGAGAATCTAGGAGCATAAATGAGGGGGTAACTTGTTTTTCTTAGTATATAGAACAGTAAAATAAAACAGATGATCTAAACCAGTGCAAAACTTACACTCTATCAATTCTCCTAATCTTGATATTTTAAGGATGAGAAACATTTTACTATGCTCAAACAAAATCCTCTTGCATCTGCCATATGTAATTAACGTAAAATCCAGTGAAAAAGAAGTTCAGAACCGTCTATTAATTTAGTTTGCAATACTTAAAATACTTTTCTTAATTGGATAAACTTAGTGTGGGAAGATTATTAGTACACCCAGTACACACAGCTGCTCACTACTTCAATCACAAAATTTACAAAGAATTATTCCATGCAAAAGCATGTACACTACAAAGATATCTAATTGCACATTTGAATGAATAATAATGCTTAACCATAAGCTTGTATTTCACAGTATTTTGTAATACCTGAAAATCCCAGACTACCCCAAGCCTATTAATCATACCCTTTACTTATTCTCGAACTCAGTACAAGTCTTAAAGAGCCTCTGTAGGGAAGCCAGCCCACCTATCTGCTCACACACAAAAACTTGAAGATCCCCCAGTAGCAAAGATCTGACAGAGCTGAACTGTCAGTTTCCCCACGAGTTGTTGACCTTAGAGTCATGTAGAATACAGAGCAGCTATAGGTGAAGTATGGGTCAAGGGTACACACCACATGCAAGCCTCCCTTGGATAAGAGAGAATCACCCTCCCAGTGCTTCTTTTAAGGGGATCTCAAAGCCCAAAAGGTGCGAAGGAGAGCAAGACATTATATCAGTTGTTCAGAAACACACTGTCTCTGTCGATGGCTCCTTATTTGGTCTATTTTTAGCCCTCCCATTGATGGAAGCAGAGAATATGATTCAGGCCAAAATGAACATGAAATGTCTTAACCCACAGGTAGCTTGTACAGCTATTTATCTCTAGTCACTTAAAATGTGGTCGCCTGTACCTAAAACATGGAGGAGGCAGAAGTTTCCAAGGATAACCAACATGCCTCAACGGAGTCCTGACTTGATCCTATCAAACTGGGATCTTCCATCTTTTCCCACCTTTACTTCTTGCACTCCGTACAAGGAAATGTTGTGTGGCATGAAGCGGGCGGGCAGTTTAATCTCAGACAGACATGTTTGCATTAACAAGCTGTGTCTGAGAAGAGAGATTTTTGCCAGATGTCCCCTAAGCCCAGCTCCTCAGAAGTTAAGGAGTGGAAGCTTTTCCCATGCTCCTACACAGAGACAACCCTAGCCTCAACACCCAGCCTTCATCTGCCTAGATATAAGCATCTTGACTGTGTAGGAGTTAGAGGAAATGAAGTCAATAGAAGCTGCAGGTACTCTGCATTTTTGGAGAAGGAAAAGAAAAACAAAACTTCGTGGTACTTGAAACCTGCTTATGAATTTAAGAACATAAATTTGGACCTGTGATTGACACCTTTTAGACAATCTGTTGACTGAGAATTGGGAACTGGGTTAGGAAATTGTATAGTTCACAGTTTTACTGAGAGACAGTGTGGTGCCTTTCCAACTTTACTCATGCTGGTTCTTCTTATCCAAACCAAAAACTTTACCAAAAAAAGGATGACCAGGACACAACTTAACACTGATAATAGCTGTTTTAAAGTCAACTGGTTTTAGTCGCAGTAAATATTTGCAGATAACCATTTTAAAGATCTTAAAAGTCTGGGGTTTGATCACAGATCCCTGTTACTTCCTGATGATGACAAAATAACTGGTTTTCTCATTAAACAGCATGATCATGATGGGAGTGTTTGCTATACTTGCACAGTATTTCCAGACCTACTTTCATTTAAAAATGTTCTGAGTGGTGGGGGAAAGGAGGGCAAAAGGCAGAAAATAAATTAACGTTTTTGCTTGTGTTTCTAATAGGAACACAGAAGAGGGAGCTAAAGGCCTATGAAGGGAAAAGTCCTTTGCTGCTGCTTTCTTATGCCTTTTTTTCCCTTTGGAGAATAAATCATAGAATGGTTTGGGTTGGGAGGGACCTTAAAGATCATCTAGTTCCAACCCCACTGCCATGGGCACGGACACCTTGCACTAGACCAGGTTGCTTAGAGCTCCATCCGGCCTTGAACTTGGCCTTGAAATTTTCCAGGGATGGGGCATCCACAACTTCTTTGGGCAATCTGTTCCAGCGCCTCATCATCTTCATAGTAAAGAATTTCTTCCTAACATCTAATCTAAGTTTCCCATTTTCTACTTTAAAACCACGCCCCCTTGTCCTATCACTATCTGCCTGCATAATAACGTCCCTCTCCACCCTTTTTTTGTAAAACCCTTTTTAAATTCTGAAAGTAAGGACTTTTGCCTGCAGCAAGGTCATCAGCCAAGGGTGTAGGGCCTGAAACCCAGAAGTCATGTATGGGGTGTTTTCCCCACTGTTGCTGACTTTGCCGTGCCTCTGTGGACATGGAGGTGCTCAGCAGGAATGGCAGGCTGAGTCCACAGAGCCTCTGATGCCTCCAAACTGTCAGGTTCACTTGCATTTTCAACCAAGAGCTGGTAACCCAGGTGCCAGGTCTGGGAGAGGGCAGTCTTCCTCTACAGCTGTGCATGCACAGGGATAAAGAGCATCTCATACATTCTTAACTTTTTCTTTGTGGTCAGACTCTTTATCACTTTTTCAAGGATTAGAGGGGAGGTGGAAAGGCACGGTCAAGAGCTCAGCTGTAACACACACTATCTGGACTCTGCATGGGAAGTATAACTTCAATAATACAAACAGATGCTGGAGCTTCTTTTTCATTTAAAGTGAGAAACACTGGCATGACATGGACCTGTTGTAGCAAGTTCAGAGCAGGGTCACCAGGATGATCAGACAGGGCTGCAGCACCTCTCCTATGAAGACAGGTTGAATTAAGGTTGTTCAGCCTGGAGAGAAGGCTCCAGGGAGACCTTATAGCAGTTTCCAGTACCTAAAGGAGACCTACAGAAAAGCTGGAAGGGACTTTTTACAAGGATGTGTAGTGATACAAAAGGGGCAATGGCTTTAAACTGAAAGAGTGCAAGTTTAGATTAGATAGAAGGAAGAAATTCTTTACTGTGAGTGTGGTGAGGCACTGGAACAGGTTACCCAGAGAAGTTACGGCTGCCCCATCCCTGGAAGTGTTCACAGCCAGGTTGGGTGGGGCCCTGAGCAACCTGATTTAGTGGATCTAGTGTAGGCCTTATCAAACCCCATCTCCTCCCTTTAAGTGGCATCAGATGACAATTTCCCAATTAAATCAAAAGCTCTTCTGTTGAAAATGGCACAAGCTTCTGTGCCCAGAATCTTCCTAAGAAAATGCGTACACACACAGGAGTGAGTAGGGCCCAGGTACCCTGTCAAGCACCAAAGTCCATACCTGGGCTGCACCTGAGTGTGCAAATATGACGTGAAGCATGTTGTAATTATGTAAATATGTCACAATGTGCTATGGATTCTCCAGTACAGCCCTAATCCATACTGGTGTAAACGGGGTACCAGGGAACACTGACAGAAGATCCTGTTTCAGACAAGGAAAACGTGTTGGAGAACGGAGGAACTGTTAAGCTTTTTCACCTCAAAGATTTCTAAATCAGTGATGCTTAATGTGAAATTGGGGGTTATCCTGGTGTGATTTTAGCTGCAGGTCAGCTGGGTACCTCTGCTATGCTGGAAGCATATTAGTTTGATAACACTAGCAGATCTAACATATCCCAGAGATTTAAAGGAAATCTGTGTGAAACCCATCTGTGTCAAAGAGATCACACCATGTGATGAAGAAAGTACTGTGATGTGAAGTTCTGGAACATGGGAGGATTAATGGGTGAAGACTAAAAGGTTTTTATAAAGAGCTGAAGGGGACAACTCTTCTTGTTCCAGAAACAAGTTTGAGACACACATTTCATCCTTCTTTCAACCCACTTAGCAGACTGCACATGTACTACTAAAAAGAAGAACTACTGAGATGATAATGCAGTAGTGTAGTAGCATTTATTTTTAAAAAGAAAAAATAAAACTAACCTGAATTATGGCTCCACAATCCTTTTCTGAATAGTTACCATAAAACTCCTACCCTGAGGTGGGGAATTTTGAATGACAGTGACATCTCAGCACACCTGCAAGCTCACTGAATCAGTGCAGCAATGGAAAAACAATGGGTGAAGGTACTTGAACTCATTTAAATTCAGTCTCAGAAAAGAGGTCAGGGGACTTGATCTTAGTGCATGAAGCTATACAAGGGTATGAAATCATAGTCTGTGAGCTCTAAACATGCAATAGATGAAGAGGACACTCTACTGTGGTTTTTTGTCATGGAGACAAAGTTCAGTCTGGGACAGCAATATAAGAGCAATTCCTCTATGAGCCACTGCAAAATAAAGATGACTATAATAAACACTACTTTGCAGAATAAAACTTGAATAAGGCTTTGATCTGCTGAAGAAATGAATGCATGTTGCAGAAAAATGTTGAATACAGCAGATCTGATGAAACTAGTGCCTCCTTCATACTACAGGCTGTAATATGACAAGAAGGCATAATTGTTTTTTTAAATTAAATTATAACTTCAGGCCAGATTTTGTTTTCAGTTATATTGTCCTGAAAAGGAACAGCTTCACTGTAGTCCCTAAGTTTGCATTCATGCAACTCTGGTGAAAGAGAACAACCAGACTTTACAGACCTGTGCTTGAGGAGAATGAACCTTTTGAAAGATAAATATGAACACACACATATGTATATATATACAAATGAATAGATGCATTTCACCCACCTATTTCGTCTCCTAGAGAGGAGTTCAGTATTGCACCAGCAGACATAACTACTGCACAGCTCCCAAAGCCATGTGTATATAATTTGCCCAGTGGAATCTGGGGAACGTGCTTTTCCCATCCAAGAGTGGAGAATGGAGCCTCCTTGCCATCTATTGTTTTCACATTCACTCTTTCTTTTAGCTCACAGAATAGCTGGTCTCCTGTCAACTTGGAGTTTCGTTTCCCCTTGAACCGCACCCCATGCTTATTGGTACTCAAATAATCTTTCATCGCCTTCTGCAGTCGAGGGTTTAGCATCTTGGAAGAGACATCCCCTTTCCAAAGCTTGTAAAGAAAGGATTTCGACATTGTAGAATACAGCCCATCCCAGTCATCAGATTCATCAAGCATCTGGTTTCTCCTATGCTTTGTGCTCCTTCTCCTCATTCTTCTCTGATGGCTCCAGTTGTTCTGCAAAATACTTACTTTTGCATTATTCACATCAGCTGAGATGAATTTTTCTATCTCTTGAAGGTGGCTGTGTGACTGAGGCTGACCAGCAGCAAATAAATAATCGTCATTCACTTGGTAGAAATCACTTTTTGATTTTCTTCCTAACTGGGATGGAAAAAACTCATCTTCATTTCTAAAGGCATCTTCCAATACAGTCCATTTCTTAGAATTTCCAGTCCCTGATTTAAATGTACCTAAGAGATCTTCATTAAGAAGTACCTCATTCCCATCAATGGTTTCAGAGAATGATGGATCATGAATGGCTCCCATGATGACTCTCTGCTTGCCTTGAAGAGGCAGAAGTCTCTTAGTTTCAATGTAAGAAAAGGAACTTGGAACAGGTTCAGCGGTGTTGCTATCTGTAAAATAGATGAATATCACCAGGAAAAGAAGACCCCATGCAAAGATACCAAACAGCATGAGTTGTTTCCATTGCTTCAAGTTAGGTTTCATGGCAATGCCTTTACCAGCTCCTCTGTGCCTTGAAGTATTGGTGAAGGAAAATGAAACCTGTAGAGAACATCAAGTACTATTAAAAATTGTTCTAAAAATAGATACAATTCAGAAATATCTTAAAATGCATTGATAGAAGGTGCAGAATTAATCTCCAAGCTGTAGCACAGAAGATTCAGCAGCAGAAACAAACTCCAGAGCCTGCAGACACTAGGAGTGACACGATTTGGCTGTAAGCACACCGTGACAGCTGCTAGCTACAAGTGAAGCTGGTGGCCAGTTTCTACAGTAACACTGGATCCTGCCTTCAGGGAGATCATGTGCCTGCCTGCTTCTGCTATACTGAGCGTAGCATTAAGAGAGCAAAAGCAAAACCCATGCCTGGCTGCATGCACAGTGGGAACAACATTAGCTGTCTTCTCTTTTGCTACTGAAAGTCCTTATGCAGTGGAACTGTGAGCAAGCCTGTCCCCAGAGGGACTAGGCAGGGACAAACTCTAAGCTGGCAGCCCTCCTCTGCCCACAGCCTGGAATGGATGGTGCTGTGTGGATATCATCTGGGGGCGTAAGGGAAAGCATTCTACCAGAGAGGAACCTTTTCCTCAGCTGGTATGAACTGACACAGCATGAGTGGCTATTTCTTGCCCAGTATCAGACCCAAATAAGAACGACTGCTGTACCTCTGCTGTGGATGCTTGGATGCTGCATGCACACTGAGTTGGAATGAAGGAGTTCTGTACATCAGGGTCTGAGGGCTTTGTATTTTCCAAAAAGGAGAATGGATGGCACAACTATCTAAATACATTCCTTTAGGATAATATAGAGATTTACCTAAAGGGGGTGGGTAGAGAATGTCAGAACTAGACCTGGAAATCTATGCTCTACTCATAACTGGGGGTTTTGGACAGCTTGTGCATTAGTGGAGGGATGCATGGTCCAAATGAAATAAAGTCTGACCGAGGCGGCTATGTTCCAAGGAAAATACACTAACACATTGCTGGACCATCAAGCACACTAAGCCCTTACATGAACCCACTTGCTTAATCAAGTGGTGTGGGCATCAGTTACAAAGCTGACTGAAGAAAGTACAGCCCTTCCCTATCATGAACCTTTACCATTCACCTCCCTGCACCATAGTCATCATCAGCCTCAATTGCTACACTGAGTGTAACTCAGTGTACTAATTAGAGACAAATCACTTACCTGATCTGAATGTAAAAATAAGCCCCTTCTTCTGAAGTTTTCTTTTTAACCCTATTTGTTTCAATAGCCACTTAATGGTGGGACTCAAGAGCCACTTGTACCAGCCAGCTGCGATTAGGAAAGGGAAAGGGCATAGGGGCAGGCTTGGTTTTCATTACCAGCCTGTGCCTCAGGAGCCACCACCTCATCATATCACATCTGAACAGCACACACAGCTTACATGCCTCTGATAACACACCGCCTGCTCACACCTGACCGTCAGGAGGGACCAAACCCAGTCACCATGCACTGTCACCTTTCTGCAAGCTGCTGAAGTACATCAAAGCTGAGTGTAAAGTTTAGACCAAAGCTGTAACTAAGGTTGTGATTTCACATCAAAAAGAACCCAGTAATAACATCAGTATAGGATGTTCCCTGCTCTGTCCCATATTCCTGCAATGTGCCTCTGCCACTGCCAATACCCCTGTGTACAGGGTTGGCACGTTACAAACTGAACCAGTAAACTGATACAGCAGAGGAAATACATGTTAGAGGGGTTTTTTTGTTTTAGTTTTGTTTTGTTGGTTTTTATAAAACTGGCTCAGCCCCTTTATCCACCACAATGTGGTCACACAGCCAGTTGTTTCAGCACAAACAGGGAAATCGCCTACCACAATGCAGAGGCGAGAACAAACCGCAGGTTTTGTATTAACAGGGATAATTCAGGCTAGCATTTCTGCTGACCTTCTGAGAATGTGAGACTGCAGCATTACATTTCTAAACACAGTCTATTTTAACGATCTAGACAAAGCCTAGAACATCAAACAAAGATAGCTCACTTTTTGGCTCAAGGCAGTGTCCAAACAGAGAGAGAATTCATAAAGTTACACTTGGATGACCCAATTTTATTGCAAACACATTCATTTCTAATACACTGAAAAAAAAAATTATGACTGTGATAACCCAGTGCTCTACACACGTTTGGCTTGGCTCACAGAAACCACATGGGAGAAAGCTATTACTCCAACTAACCCATTTCCTACTTGCACTCTGCTGCTGCAAGATTGTTCTCTGCAGTACCTCGACACTCCCCCCACTTCTAATTTTAAATCACTGCAGGTGATGTCCTGTGGGAGTCACCTTACAGTGTATGGCTGTTGTGCAGGTTATGTCTGCCCTGAACTTACTGCAACCTGCCCACTCATCAGTGTTCAGATGGTTTGCATTTTTAAATCAGCATTCTTCACCCATCTGAACTGCTTCCATCCCTTGTTATCATTTTCCCTGATATGTTTCCCCAGCACTTTTCAACACGTGGCTTCCAAACCACTGTGTAAGTTAGCCTTTGCTCAGTCAGATGTTTCTCCTGCTGAATATACATTTCTTACAGGATTGCAATGGAAGCATCTTGCATAATCTTTTTAACAGATAAGCTTGCAGGAAGTCAAAGTTACGAAGGAAGAGGTCACTAATATTTTTCCGAGTTATTGAGTCACATAATAAGTCTAGCCACAATTTAGAGACAATCCATAACAAAATCCCATGTTTTTCTCATTTTTTCCCAAGTTTTGTTGTATCTTTTAACCAGAACGTTTTGATAAGAAACAGAAAGGTTTAGTCTTACTTCAGGTGTGAGACTACAAAAATTTCTAATTGTCTGTGGTCGCATGTGTTTGGTGCAGCAGACTGCCTCAGCATAAAAAAATTAGTCAGGACTCCTAAATTCAATATTCAGATTACACTCTGACAAAGGACTGAGATGCATTATTAATTATTTTTAAATTAAGGCAAACACTCCCCCCCCCCAATACTTAAGAGGTCATGAAAGCACACTCAACTTGGTCAGCATGGACATATAAGCATGCATATGATTATCTTCTTTGTGCAGAAAAAAATCATCTGTGCAAAATAAAAAACAGCATACAACAGTATATTTGTCAACACTGCAAGTAAAAGGAGAGGCACCACTGAGAATAAATCCAAAAACTTTACACATTAACTACCGCAGTAGCTTATCTGCAATTCCTCGTTGCAAGTGGGGCCTCAAAAAGGATACTAAAATCTCTTGAAGACCAGAGCTATGCAGGCAAATCTCTGTGCTGCTTTAATATTTTTTTGCTCACAAGAAATGCCTTGTCCTCCAGCAGTACAGCTGAGCTGGAAACGAATTCAAGGTCATTACTGTATTAGTTGCAAGAGGACTTCTACAACCTCACAGGATCTTGAAAGCTGTGTGCGGAAAGCTGCACTAAGTCCAGAGAAATATCAGTTTATCTTATCTCCCTCTACACTAAACATCCAGTCCTCTCCTCCTCAGCCCCTGCAGCTTCTAACACCTCACAGTCCCTGAGAATGTCTGGGAGGAGAGGGCAGCCCTTTTGCATGCTCCCCACCACCCTCCTGCTGGCAGCAGACTGGCACCCTCCGCTGCTCAGGGGGATATACTCCTCGTTACCACCTGGGGATGCCCATGGATTCTCGCCCTGTACTGCTGAAGGCAGCACATCTCAATTACAAACAAAAAAAATCAGTGTAGGACACCAGAAATGATGATTGCAATGAATTACACTGGCTAAATAAATAAAAACAGGTGGTTTCATGGGTGCAATTAGTCCACTGGATGCTTCAGGAATAAACTTCCATATCTCTCTTATCTATGCTCATCATATAGTTTTCAAACTGTTAAAGCAATTTTACACAAGTTTGTAAATTATCATTAACATTTCTCATTGTCTTCAACTTCATCAGCCCTGCCACAATAATCCTCCTTACTTACACACAACAGAGACTGCTGGAGTGAAAGCTGCTCAGAAGGACCAGAGGAATGAGTCTAGCCCTGGGGGAAACACCCAAGACTTAACCCAGCTTCCCCTTTGGCAGAAATAATAAGCCTGTTTGCCCCAGAGGCTGAAGATTTCATTTTCTTACATATCTCCTTTCTGATGGGCTCTTTTAATCATTAACTGATTTAAGTTCCAACTACCATATGGAGAATGGCTTTTTTCTTACCCAGTCTGGTTGTTTGTACAAAAGCCATGGAAAACATTAGACAAGGTATAAACCAGTGAAGTGGGCAGAAAGGGGAGACTGACTGACTTGCTTGAAAGAAATACTAGCAGCAGCTATGAGAAAGAAAGGCAAACCCTAGTAATATCTTTGACGCATCCCAGGAAACAAAGGCAATTCCTCAGTGGAAATTAAAGGCTGATTTTCAAGAAATGGCACCCACTTGTGGGAAATTTCATTTTGCTATGCTAAGATGCAAGAAACCAATGAGTTCCCTCTCCCTTTATAAAGCCCATTGTTTTGCAACAAGGAGCACTTTTCATTTTTCCAAAGTAGGCCTCCTGACTATTTCTTAAATGAGAAGAGATGGATGAGGGAGATTTTTTTTTTTTTATTCCTTTGAAACATTCCTTCCTTTCAACACTGTCTATTGTTAAAATTAATTTGTACAGACCCTGGCAGCTCAGAGGTCAGGAGGGTTCAAGTTGATGTGCTAAGATGTGCACTGTTATGTTAAACAGGGTTTTTCTTGGCTGCAGCTTTACAGCAAGAAGGTCACCTCAGGGTTATTTGGGGTAGCAAATGTTAGCCCTGGGCAACCGTTCCCAAAGGGCTGAGAATCAGACCAAGGTTTACTTGATGGAAAGCTGAGGCGGCCTGAACAGATAGCAAATGCTCCCTTAGTTTGCTTCATCTCTCAGTCAGCTAATTCCAGCGTATTAAGAAACCTCTGGCATAGGGCAAGACAGCTGGAGGCTGCATTTCCACGGTGGGGAATACACTCGTCCTCTCATGTGGGAAGTGCCAAATTGGTTTTAGTGTTATCACATCATTTCTGTGGTGGAAGCCACACAGTAGTGAGCAACAGA